TCTGATCTTCCAGGACAGTACCTTTCCTTGGAGGAAAAAGGTGTGTATGCCTCATGGCTTGGCCCAGATCTCCTAGATTCCTCTGCTGCCCTTAGTTGTAGTCAAGGACATAGTTGAAGAGAAAATACTTTTCTGCACCATACTTTCCTGGGCCACAGTGATTCTCCAGTATGGTGAGATTGCCATAATTGGTCACACATTTTCCTCTGCTGAACTCACATTGTTTTTAGGGGATGGTCTGCTTCTCTAATTTTCAAGTGCATGGCCATGAAACCTATGCCTTTCCCCCACATCGGGCACGTGAATAAAATGCTTTCTGTTAAGCAGAGGGGCACTAATACTGCTATATCGATATGTAACTATCTGCACACATGGACCATCTTTTAAACAACAGTTAAAATTAATCTCACATCTAGCTTTTGTACATGAAAGAGGAGAGTGCTTTGTATTTTGTCAAGGACAGCAAAATGCATTGGTTGACAAGTGGCTTCCTTCTGCTGGACATTAAAATGGCCAGAGTTGGTTTTTTGAGCTGTGTTTTGGGACTGCACTTGGGTACATGGATAAGGGAAAGGTCTACATTCAGCATTTACCACTACAGCACTGCACCTATCTTATAAAGGTCTCTCTCTTACACTGAAAATGTTGGTTTAACTGCATTGAACTGCATTTTATGAGTCTACACTGACCATAAAATGCAATTTCAAAGTGCATTTTATGGCAGAGTAGAAGGAGCCAAAGAGTTCCTATAGAGTCCAGCTAGTACAATGAAGGAGACTCCCAGTTTGTTAAATGTTTTGATTCCTACAGAAACATCATACAATGATTTTTTCTTGATTAGAAATATAAACTTTGACAATAAAATATAAATATAGAAACAGTTGACATTAACAATTTGTTAGATTAATTGGATGCCAAATGTTTCTAGGCAGAGGAATGTACTGCCTTGACTTTGCCAGTAATAATACTTGAGCACAAGTTCCCAGCCATTGCTCCCACAATCACAGCATTTTTCCGTATTGGAATTCATGTGGGAGAAACATATATTGGATTGGGCTCAGCGTATTCAGCATTGTTCAAAATATACTTCTTAGAAAAAACTATTCACAACCAGTGAAAATGGTGAAATATGTTCATACCAATATGTGAACATTCTAAGCTAACACTATTTAGATTAAAGGATTGATATATATGAATGACTCAAAAAGAACATGATATAACAAGTTTGATGAAGCTAAGCAGATCTAGAAGCCCATTTACATCATGCAATTATAGCACTATGAATGCACTTTAACTGCCATGACCCCATCCCATGAAATCCTGGGGCTTGTAGTTTATAGGTATCTCCCTTCAAGTGACCAATCGATTAATGGTGAACACATGCATTTCATTGGGTTTTCTTAGGGAAAAAAACCTCAGGGCCCTTCCAGACAGTCTCAAAATGCAGGTTTAAAAAGTGGGTTTAAAAATTGTTGAACTTGACAGCAAGTCCAGACAAAGACCTGTCAGTCCTGGGAAATGGTTCCCTGCCATTCGTAGTGGTATTTTACAAATCTGCAAGATAGATGGGAGACATCTGGCTGAAGTTTTTTTTTAAAAAAATCTCTCTGAAATGTGCTGGATCTCATAGTTGCTCATGCAGAGATCTAAATGTGTACACACAAGCAGATTTCTTATTCTCTCTCCTCACCAAACTGTAAATTCAAGCTTTGTCTAATCTTGTAAAGATCAGAACAAAGAAATTGTTGCAGAGAGTTCTAATTGTAATTGCTTTCCAACTGTGCTTCTGTTTAGCCACCTGTGTGTCCATGACCCCATTTTTTGACAGCCTGATCAGCTGTTTCTGGCTTTTAAAATGCGCATGTGTGCTGGAGTAGTCCACAGCAGGGGATGGAAGGAAGTAATGTGTTTTCCATGATTGCAGGGATTCATTTAGCCAACCCCCTTTATCCTAGTTTCTTCCAGGTTTTTAGGCATGTGTAGAAGGCCCCTCAGAGGTGGTTTTGTCAGTTCCTTCCTCTGTAGTAAGTCTGAATTTTAGACTCAGATTGGACAAAGAATGTTGGCAGCCTTCAACTCTTTCTGCCTTCAACCCTTTCAAATTTTCCAGATTGGACTTTTGCATGCTTCGTGAACCATGTCTTCTGGAAGCCTCCAGGAAAAGCAACTTAATCATATCAAATTATATCTCCCTTTAGAGTTGCTAGACTACACATTCTAACAGTCTGTTCTAGTATCACCAATGGAGAAGAATGCTGGGATATACAGCATTGAAGGCCACATATTCCCATCTAGTCCTAGACTTTAAGGCAGGGGTGGCAGTTCATTTTCATTGAAGGCCACATCAATTTTAGAGTTGCCTTCAAAGGCCCATTGAATACATGGATGGAGAATCCATAGATCCAGAGGGCCAGCTATAACTTTTTAACAGTGCTCAGTGCTCTTTAGTTGTTACTCAGTATGGGTCCCCAGGTGTTATTAAACAACAACTATCATCAATTTTGGTTATCCACCTTGCAAACTGGGAATAATGGGAATTACAACCAAACAGCGCTTGTGGCTCTGAAGTTGAGGAAAGCTTACAGGACATTTTAAAGTCAGGCACCATATCCACAAGCCTTGTATCTAATTTCAAATCCCACTATCCTGACTAAACAGAACAAACTGCAGCTTTTCAGATGCTACTGTATCACAACTCCCATCAGCTGTACTCATGATATCTAACGATGAGGAATACGGTCTAGCATGTTGAGGGCACCTAAAATGACATGGCGAGCCTTGGGTTTGATATATGGACCTTAAACTCAAGAGATTTTATTAGATTATCAGCCCTAAAATCTGAATACAGGAAATACTTTACTATGACAGACAAAAAGTAGCCAGATGATAATATTCTATTTCCCCATCGAAATGCAGCTGTAAAAATATGATGACCACAGCGTACAGCATGATCGAGTCCAGCAACACCTGGAGCATCACAGGATCCCTGGCTCTGATATGAATGCACAGCTTAACAAAGAATCAGGATCATCTTGTCAGCAATCTAAACAAAAGATGCCACCCATGTGGAGAATGTAGCACTACCCCCACCCCTTCCACTTTAAGCATATCTTGATAGCAGTCATGAATGGACCTTTAGCCCCAATCAGATTCCTTTTACTTTGTCTCCAGTACCAAAGCAAATGATTTCCTTTCAGGAATTGATGAGATCAACATCAAGGCAACAATTATCCATATTGAAAAAGGAAGGCAAGGAGAGAATAAATGCAAACAAACAAAACCTAATAGCATAGTGTTAACAATACATTGATCTATTCAGTAGATGAACTAGTGCAAAATTGATTTTCTATTTAATATTAGCCCAGATCCTAACTTAGCCAATCCCACAATATCAAGAGACTTCGCAAAATACATGCTCTATCTACTATATCTCATATATATCTAGTATGTGTGTGTGTTTATCTGTACAGCACACTCATACACACAATCCAAACAACTAATTTTAAGCCATTTTCAGAGTCATTTTAAAACACTTTACTAGTTTATCTAATAAATAAAAGAAAATTATTTTTTAAAACACCTGGAAAGACAAATACATTTCCTTTTTATGCCTTCATGTCTCCCAAACTATTGATAAAATCACATGAAAATAAAACCGGATCCTTGTCCATTCAAAATCAGGCACAAGTTGCATTCAGAATATAGTAATATGTTATATCATTCAGCCATATTAGTTTACTTTGTCATTTTTATCAGTTTCTCTTTGTTTTGTTTCATCTAACAATGAGATAGATGTTCAAATAAATTCCTGTCTGCCTAAAGGACTGCAGAAAGTCACTCTGAGTCCTGCATATTTAAAAAACCCCACACATTTAAACATGATTTCACCATGGCACAGCTTAAATGCAAGCTGTTTGGTGTGAAATTCCACTGGAAAATCTTGTGACTTGACTGAATTCCTTTTGCTTCAGTTTAACATGCTAATGAATGATGACATTTTAGCTGCATTCTGATTTGCCTTTCAGGAACCTGTTTGATTTTCCAATTAATGTGCGGGGGAAGGGAGAAGAAAGAAAGAAAAGAAAGAGAGAAAGAGAGAGAGAAAAGAAAAGAAAAGGAAAAGAAAAGAAAGGAGAAATATTGTCCTCAAAATAATTCCCCCACTTCCAAAATTGCACTCCTTTAATTTGCACTCAAAGTGACCACAAATATCAGCAACTTTTCAGAATGTTTTCTTTCCTCCTCTAAAAGGTCTTTGGGGAAGTTCGAACATGTTGCTACTGGTTTGGCACAAATCACATTGCAGAGACTTATCAAGAATACAGTCTCCCTGGGAGAAGGTGAGCTGCTGGGACAGGCTTGATAATGTTAGACCTCTTCGAAGTCTCATAGCACAGCAGCCATTCAGCACAAAGGGATATTTGGACATTGGTGGAGATGGGGGGGCAGGGAGGGGATAATCTATCCCAGTGCATGCAAACATTGCTTTATCAATCCCTCTTTTCACCCTTCCCAAAGTTATATAATCTCCACTGAGAAGCCTGGATACTCAAATCAAGAAAAGCTAGCTTAAAGCAGAAATTGAGTGCAGAATTTGTGCAGTTTTACTTAAAGGTACACAACAAGAGCAACACTGAGCAACTAACTCAAGTCATTAAAGGGAAAGGGGGGCATCACATTTATTCCTGAGAAGGATGCAGATTTGAAAATGTTACATGCATTCACAATGAAGAAGAGCTTAAAAATTATTAAAGCATTTGTGTGTGGATGTGTGTGCGCGCAAACACATGCATGCATCCTTTGCAGAAAAGTTCACAATGCCTGGAATCTACATCGCAATGGATAAAGTGATGGAATTCATACCACAATTCTGCTTTAAAGACACTTAAAGACATCATCCTACCCTACAAAACATCTTATTATCCAATATACAGAATTATCTGCTCTCTCCCTTACGAAAGCAGAGATACAAAGAATCACAAGGAAATTGTCAGGATTACCTTGCTGGAGTGTGTAATAGTTTAAATCTCTTTCCTCCAAACAGTACGCCTGGATTACTTTCTCTGAAATTTTCTGTGCCACAAACCTATGACAACATTGATCTAAAGAATCAGAAACAAGCAAAAAACAGGAAAGAAAACCCACCCATCAAGCTCCCGGTAGTTTGAAAGACACCTTAATTTCTGTCTTTCTCTCTCTTTCTCCCTCCCTCCCTCTCTCTCTGTCTCCCACCACAAACATAGAGCTCCTTACATTGATGTAGCTGCTGAATTAGGCGGTGCTCTTTTAAATTTCTTCTCCCTCCCACTTTTTCCCCTAGTTGGGATTTTTAAAAAAATTGTGGGAACTAAATTGGCATGCAACATTTTATCAGGAGTGTCAAGGCTTAAGGAAAGCTTAGATTGCCTAGATTTCATCTTGGTTCCACCCAGTGAGTTTTTGTAGGCATTTATTTTAATGGTGTTGAATGAGATACTTAAGATTTTCTTTATAAGAGAGGAATTACAAATAACATACTGATTAGAATCTAATCATTCAGAGATGAAAGACATACAGATGCTTAAATGCAAATTAATGAATGGGACCACCACAAAAGGGCCACCCTGCTCTTTCAGTTCTTCAGATTCATCAAAAAGATTAGAAAATTGGAGGGAAGGGCATAGCCTTCCACTGTCTTGTTTTGGTAGTGACAGACTTGATGAATCCTCTGCCATGCCACTTTTTTCATCAAGTTTTTAAAAGTGCCAGGGTACATCTTAATGCAGTTTGAAGGCAACTTGAGAGTGCGATGTTTAAATGATGCACACTGTTAAAGGGTGGAGCAGTTTGCATTAAGGATGTTAAACCAGGATAAGCAAAGTCAGTAGATATATTCCAAAATAGATCTAACGATGTGCATCAGTATGCTTCAGTATAAACCACATTGCAAGGTGAAACCGATTAAGGGACAGGTGCATTGGCAGTTCGCACATATGCATTGCACTAAGAAGTAGAAAAATCCTACCTTGATTCATGGCCAAGAAGCCACAGATAGTTCAGATCCTGGAAAAATTTTGAAGCTAGTCTCTGCTTTGTAGGTAGTCAATCTCCAGGCTTTGAACTGGTGCCAGGACTTCACATGTAATCATCTGTACAATGAAATCAGTTACTTCCCTGCCAATTTCACACCATCTGAAGTGATGAATATAGATGTGTTCCCATTTTCTATCTCTTTCCCCTACTTTCTTCTTTTGTACTCAGTCTTTTTCAGTTGCAGCAGCATGCATATTAACTCAGGAAGGGGAAAGAGAAAACGTGGAAGCTGAAATTTGTCCTTTCCAGTAGGTTCAGGTAAAAGCAAACTATTGCAGTATCTCCTAATTTGTGTGTTCTTGCTAGTTAATGACAAAATTAGGACCTTCCTCTTGTACATGTTTCCCTGTTCTCACCTGTGAAATATCAGAGGTATGTGAGATTGTTTTTGTTTTTGCTATCATTTCTTTGTAGTCTCAGTGATGAAGCTTCTCAACCAGATGCCAGAGGTTAATAATAATAATAATAATAATAATAATAATAATAATAATAATAATACTTTATTTGTGGACTGCTCTATCTCCCTGAAGGTATTCAGGGTGGTATTCAACAAAATAAACACAATGACAAACATTCAATGCCAAAATAACAAATGATAAATCAAACCAATAAGTAAAAACAGACTCAATAAAAATTAATAATAACAACTTCAACAGACATGATGCATCACAAGTGTTTATAACATGACAAGCTTTTAAAACTTTTTAAAAATTACACTAAAAGTACAACTTCCTAGAAGTAAAGACAGATATCCAACAAGTAGATGAAGTATGCATAAACATGTATTAATCTTACTCCTCTCCATATGCCAGAGTGCATAGATGGTTTTTTTTGCAACTTTTTAAAGGCAAGGAGAGAGGGGGTAGTTTTTAGTTCTTTTGGGAGAGAGTTCCAGAAGTGGAGAGCGATCATGGAGAAAGTCCCATCTCTCATTCCCACCAGCTGAACTTGAGATGTGGGTGGGACTAAGAGCAGGGCCTCCTCCGCATATTACAGTACAGTTCCAGAGAAAGCCTAGACACTTGGGGTGCTGGGACACACATGGTACCTCCCCTGAGGATCTTAGATTTCAGGGGAGCTGATACAGGAGGAAGGGGTCTTTCAGAGGTCCCAGTTCCAAGCCATTTGGGCTTCATAAGCCAAGAGGAGTGCCTTGAAGCAAATTAGAAGCTGATGAACTTTTGATAAGACCAATATTTTCTAATATTGTGGGGTTTTTTTTCAGATATTGTGGTTTCTAAAATACACATCCTACACCAGTCTGTAGTCTAAGCAAGAAGTAATGAAAGCATTAGCTTAGATATGCTCTACCCGGAAAAGGATGCCACTGGCACACCAAATGAAATTGGCCAAAGGTAACTTTTTTTCCGTGTCAAAAGCATTGCATAAAAAGTAATGCTTTTGGGTTGGAAAGATTAGTTGTTTACAAGAAGCGTTGCCCGGGGGACACCTGACTCTATTTGCTCAGTCTTCGAGGAGGCTGTTTCAGAAATGCTAAGTCCAAGACATGAATCTCATCTTACAGGGAATGAAACCCCAGGTGAGAATTTTCTGCTGACCAACAAAATGAAAAGAAATACATATCATAAAGGTACCAGATCCCATCCAATCATGGAAACTAAGCAGTGTCAGCCCTGATTAGCACTTGGATGGGAAACTGCCAATAAATATGTACACATACAAAATTATCCTGTTTCTATGATCAATGGGTGGATGTAATCAAAATAGTGCAAGGTTTGTTTGGTTTTTTTTTTTTGCGTGAATATAATAGCAATCATAGAATAGGTAAAGTGATGGCTTAGTAGCTGAATAGTACTGTAGTATATTTTTCAAATTTAAACAAGTTTTGCAGACAATGTGAGCCTATGAGATGAATTATTTTAAAACAAAGATAACAGGAAGACAGGCTAACTAATGTAATGTGTGTTGTGCTACATAAGTCATTTGAAAATAACTAGTTTCCTTCAGAAATCACTTGCTTGAAAATTTGGAACACTGACAATACGCCCATGTTTTCTTTTACTTCACCAGACTGCTGAAAAATGATAAAGGGGTCACTCCACCTTCAGTGTAGAAACCTAGAGCAATGGGTATTGGTGTGTACTAGTCTGTCAAAGGATATTTTCTGAGACCTATTTTGCCTAGATGACGCTTTTCTTTGTTCTGTATTTAGAATTTAAGATGCCCACAAATTTTATGTTATAACTTAACTACTGTGAGCAGCAAAAGCCCGGAGTTGTACGGTGCCCATTAAATTTGGAAGCAGGAAATGCCATAGGGCTTGGTTCAGGCAATGTGTGCGTGTATGTGTGTTTTGCATGTGAGGAGTTTTGTGTTTATCATACACCACAAGCATCTTGTTAAACTCTTGGGAGCCTAAATTGAGGGTGCCAACTTCAGAGGCTCTGCTGGTGAGTCTGGGTGTTGCCCATTTCTGGTGCATGCACCAAGCAAAGCTCCAGTGACTCTCAACATCATTGGGTGAAATGTTCCTTCAGTTTATCTTTTAACAAGCTTTGCCTTGGCTTTTAAAAGTAATCCTCACTGCTGAAAAATTGCTATCTTTGATTTTGGTTCAAGAGGTCTGTACCACATTAGTCTATCCATGCGTTTTTGAATGCTCTGTGGGCCAGTGTTGGAAAGATACTGCTGAGGAGACGGATTATAATTGTCCTGCTAAGGGAGCAATGGTAGGATGATGCTGTGGGTCTCAGAGCATTATCCTACCACTGTTCCGTTATCAGTGAGTTCAGCGTAGCCTTATTTCAGTTCCAAGATATGAGAAAGATATTATGGGCAACAAATATCAAAATCCTCTAGAGGTATCTTCCAAATAACAAACAGCAGCAACAACAAGAATATGTTATTGAACAACAACTACTGCTTTCATTTTTCCCTAAAAAAAACCAAACAAACCTGTGATACAAGGATGATAAATAAAAAGCAAAAAAAAGAGAGTTTATTTTCAGCTAATCCAATGACTGAATAATGAAGGTTGACAGGAAATAAGAAAACAGAAACCACTCTAAATATTGAAATTTTGCCATCATCCAAGGCCTTCTGTGTATGTGCTGGTAGTGAGATTTTTGACTTTTCCCTTTCGAAGAATTCTGAATGCAATTCATGATTTGGCATTGCAGAGATTGCATGTGTGCGTGGAGGGGGAGGGTTGTAGCTAAATATGTGTTTGACAAATGCAAGACCAGAAACATTATGGGATGAAAGGATCCAAAAATATAAGCACTCTCCCTTTTTGGCCAATAGAGGGAGAAAGAGATCAGGCCTCCAACCTTACTGTCAAAACACAGCAGAAATAAAAGTACAGCCTAGGCATGGATTCAACCATTCACACTTTGAAAATATTCAAACAAAAATCCATTTCACTATGCCATTCTATATAATGAGATTTGGGCATCCATTGCTAACCATGGTGTGTGGGGGTTTGTGTCTTGGAACCAAACCCCAGCAGATACCAAGGAATGTTGATATTACAAAACAGGATGAAGAAAAAAATCTTTAAAACAAAACAAAACAAAACAAAAAAACTCTTGCAAGTAAACATGCCAGAGCTGTTCTACTTTGGAACCATCATGCATGGCCAAGAGGGGTTTACATCCATACTGCCTTCGGTCCTCGTACCTGTGGACGTAGGTACTGATTGTGTTGAGTGCAGAAGGTTGAAATGTCTCCTTCCCAGAAATGATGGACCTGATCCTTAGTGGGTCTCTATATGCTTTCTTCCAAGTGAAGAAAGAAAACAAGTCTTTCCTGAAAGTAAGATGTTTAATACAGCATCTTGAGTTCTATTCATTCAACTGAATGTGTTAACTCCTCAAATAATTGATTTGGGGGTCTACTTCGGTTAGAGCCAAACAACAGATTGTGGGCCATTATGCAATAGCACAGAAGATATTTCATTATACGTACTCTGTTCCACTGTATCGTTGAAATAGTGTGGTACTTATCAGCACCCTCAAATAGGTTCAAGTTTGGAAAGCTTTTTATGCAGTCAGAATATTGTGTAAAGTAAGAGGAGGCATAGCCAATCCCCGCTCATCCAATTTGTCATCTACGTATCATACAGCCAGCTATCCATATGGAGCTGCTCATTGCAGGTGACAGTAAGCACATTAGTGGAGCAGGGGAATTACCTTAAAACAAGTGAATATAGTT